TTCTGATATTACAAGAATTTAAAAACGTTTAAGGCAAATTATCGAGTAAAATTGCAAAGTGTTCGTTTAAAAATTCACCCCATAAATGTAACTAAGCCCTTACGAGAGTGAGAAATTATGCGTGTGTATAAATTGTGCAGCAGGTACGTGTAATATTAAACCGTATTATCTTTCCTTTCATTTACATTCAAATTCGGCGTAAAGTACGAATCATTAGTTGAAACGTAACAATGCGTACAGCCAATGCATTTAACATGAATTGCATGTACGTACTGTGCTAGACTATAGGCTATAGTGTTGAACGCATTAACATGTTAATGCCTTGTCTCGCGCCACGGTTAACTGTCTCATCTCACCACGGTTGAACGTGTTAGTTGATCCACGGCATTAGTAATTCAAAGCGTGGAGACACCTATAGTGCGCACAATTCATAATAAAACACCTTCCCGGTATACCGTGTCTACAAACGGACTCGTTACAAATTGCCTCGTTACTAATCGATACCGTTTACACCGAAACACGCTAGAACTTTGTCGGAAACGGAGCGTTAAGATATTTAAAAAGAATTCCGTCCCGTTGCATCCGAGTTTAGCGGACACTTTCAAATCGACGAAAGGTTTCGATATCGGTACCCTCGCAAGGGTTCACTCGACGGATAATCGCCTAAGAGATCGTAACGCGACGACACATTCGGGGAAGGAGTTTATTACCGAGAATCTGACGACACGGTTTTTACACTGACCAAATCGGTAGGTCGATTCATCGATAAACCGATAACATGAACAGAATGGAGGAACACGATACAAAGCCACTATTACAGCCCCTCTGTGCCGGCTGGTTAATTCCCGATTCCGAAGACGCACGGGTTGATAGGTCGTAGCACACGCACAAGACGGGGAAATCCCAAAATCGATGTGCGACGACATCGGTCACCGGCTTAAGCCTGGGCGTAGTCGTAGCGGAACGTCGACGTTCTGTGCCGTCGACAAATTCGGTGTCGCATTCTCGGAAAGTCACCGATGTAGGGATAGAAAGGTGGGCAGAGGAAGGGGGTTTAAGGTGGAGTCAAAGAGCGGAAGAGAGAACAAGCGGCAAAAGGAGGGTCGGGTGGATGAGTCTACGGGCAAGACGAAGAGGGAGAATCCTTTATATGCAGGGGGGAACATATCTACCGACGAACACACACTGCAACGACACTCGCGTATTTCGACCCGTATACACTTGCACGAGCGAGCTTACAAAGCATATACGCATAGTAGCGGCCTCTTGAAGTCACCGAGGTAGGTGGGTACAGCGAGAAATCGCGGAAAGGAAAGGAAAGGAGAAGAGAGGAGAGGAGAGCGAGAGAGGTTGCGCGCGGCTATGTGTAGACCGCGGTGTTAACAAACGGTACAATAATGTTTCACATCTCGGTGTGCCCTCGCCGTATGTTACCGTCTCGCTCCGGCTCGCGTAGCTTCTCTGTTCCGCAACGTGTTCCTCCGTCGGCGACGCCGTGGCGAGCAAGAGCGCGAAGTAGTAGCTCAACGTGCCGCGCACACTGCGGGACGATGAGAAAGGCAACGAACAGCAGGGTTTGGTAGTAGTACCGGTAGCTACGAGTTTAAGTGGAGGGGGCACGGAAAGGTGGCAGGGGCGGG